CCTGTACACCCAGTAGACCCCGTCCTAAATTCATAAAAAACGATTTATTTATTTATGTATTTGGTATAGGGTCTCACTATGCAGCCCAGATATGTAGAGATCCTCCTGTTTTCAGCCTCCCCAGAGCTGGGATTACAGCCATGCACCACCACGCTGGTCTTGGTGGCTGACTGAGCATGCCCCAGGGCAGGGCCAGCATGGCCTGTAGTGCCACAGATCAGAGATCAAACTGTGGGCCCTGTGCTTGCCTAAGCAGGTGCTTAGTCCGCTGAGCTGTCTTGCTTACCCTAACATTTTGTTTCATAGTTCCATTCGGTCCACTGGCAGCTAGCAGCTGGGTGTGATGGTGCACACCTATAATCCAGTACTTGGGAGGCTGAGGTAAGAGGATCACTGGAGTCAGAGGCCAGCCTGGGCTACATAATGAGTTCAAGGCAGGCCTCTACTACAAAGTGAGACCCTGTTTCAAAAAAGCCAACGGAAAAAAAAAAGAAACAAACCATTGTCCACTGGCTACCTATTGCTTTCATCCAGGTGGTATAGCAGAGAAACATGGCAGAAGGGTATGGCAGAGGAAGGGTGCTCACTTCTTACCAGTCAGGAAGTAGAGAAAGTCCCAAGGAGCAGGGCTACACAGTGCAGTCAGGGAAGGTCAGGTCTGCAGGACTCACTACCTTTCACCAGGCCACACCTCCTAAATATTCATCACTCTCCAACAATGTCATCAAATTATAATGGATTATAATAAAATATAATCTGTGGATTAATTCCACTGATCTAGAGTAGTTGTGACTGAATCACCTTCCTAAAGCCCCACCTCTGAGCCTTTGGGGTTATATTCTGTAGCCAAACCGTAACTGCAATGTCATTTTGCTTTCCCTAAGGGATTACTTTTCAGGTGCTGAAGGCAAAACGCCTGTTGAATTTTTCTCTTCACAGCTTCATGAGAGCTTCCAGCAAAAGGTCCCGGTGAATGGATACTCCTAGCTCCAGCAAGGATTTACAAAAGAAAGGTTTCAGCAGGGTAGGGTGGCACAAGGAGGATCGTCTAATTCAAGGTTAGCTGGAGAATCTTAATAAGCCTCCCATCTCAAAATTTTTTGAAGAAAAATAAATGGTGGAGATGTAGCTCAGTGCTCCATGGGTTCAATCCCCAGCTCAGGGCAAGGTGGTGGGGGAAAGTTGAGGACTGAAAATCTCTTTAAGATTTTTATCATGATGCATGTTCAAAAGATGTGGATGGCACTGTGAACTGTACAAAGGTAAGGGAAGGGCAGACGACTGTTGCAAGGCTCTATTCTGTCCGTTTCTGCGCATGTTTAAAGGTGTGGGTTGGAGATAAACGAGAGGTGAGCGCAGCTCCTTAAAAATAAGTACCTTTGGTAAATATGCACTCACAAGAATGTGTGCGATGACTAACACTCTTTACTGTAGCTAGTTCATTCAATACAAAGTTAATCCACAATTGTTAACACAGGACTAATGTCTGGAATGCACTCTATTTGTAAATCCCTGTAAGCAATAATCGCTGTTCCTACACCAAGTGTACTGTACTAAGAATGGACACAGCAGGCATCATTCTTGCCCCTGAAAGGCCAACTATGGTTGTCTTTGCATTTTGTCTCTCTCTTAATTACTTTGAATGGTCAAAACATGAAAGTAAAAATATCTACATTTTCTGGTACCCTGTGACGTCCTGGTACAGGGCTGAGATCTCTCATCTCCCCACTAAACCTGAGCCTGGCGGTGTCTATCTGCCGGTTATCAGACATTAGGAAGTGCCGCAAAAGGGTCTATCACGGCACAGCCCACCCACTCTAGCCGCCAGATGCGTAGCCTGGCATCTGGCTGCCACGTAACGTTTTCTAAGTAAAAGCCGAGCGCATCAGTACCCTAAGGAAGTAAAATAAAGCAGCTACAAAAACCCGGATGTAGCCGCACCGTCAACAGCCAGATTGCGCATGCGCACCCCGGGAAGCCAGGGGCTCTGAGGTGGGCGGGGTCTGAAGAGAGCCGGGCGTTGATTGGAGACGGGGGAACCACGCCCACCACGCCTGTTTGTGCGCATGCGCCGGGCGTCAGCTTCTAGTACTTTCTCGAAGCTCTTGAGCCCTGCCCTCCCATTTTGCGTCCGGACGTCCCCGGTAACGTAGGTCCTTGTTTTGTTAGCGAACGCTTGTACAAAGCTTCTGTCGGATCTGAACTTCGAGCGTTAGTCAGCTGTAGGCCTTTCTCTTCATTCTGAGGGAGCTGTTATCAGCCTGCAGGGAGTGTTCGGTGAAAGGCTGCAAATTCTTTCAGGTATGAGTGGCTGCTGAAGCGCCGCGCAGTGGTGCCAGAGCGCGGCGAGAAGGCCGCGTTTGTCCGGAAGCCGCCGCCTCGCGCCGGGCTGGTACCCACTTCCGGACCTTGATCCTCCCCTCCCCGTTTGATTTCAGGCGCTGCTGGGTTTGTGAGAAGGGATCTTTCCTGAAGAAGAGGAAGCCTAGGTCTCCGGCGAATATGTCCAATTACGTGAATGATCTGTGGCCCGGCTCGCCGCAGAATTCCCCGTCCGCCTCCGGGTCAGATCGGTCCAGCCGGCTGTCCTCGCGGTCTGGGAGCCGCTCCTCTTCTCGGAGCTCCCGCTCGGAACCCCGCGGCTCGAGCCGCTCGTCGTCCGGGAGTCGCAGGCGGCCCGGGAGAAGGACCAGGTCGAGGTCGCGTTCGAGGAGGCGCCACCAGCGGAAGTACAGGCGCTATTCGCGTTCCTACTCGCGCAGCCGTTCTCGATCCCGCGGCCGCCGCTACCTGGACAGGCGTTCCGGGCCGCCCCGGAGGTATTTCCGGTCTCCCTCGCCGCGCCGCTCGCGGTCTCGTAGCCGCTCGCGCTCGCGGGGAAGGTCGTACTTTCGAAGGTCGCACTATGCCCTCGCACGGGGGCGGCGGTACTACGGCTTCGCTCGCTCCGGGTACCCTGAGGAACGCGGCAGGTGGAGGGAGCGGTCGAGATCCAGGACGAGGTCGCGGAGCAGAACCCCCTTTCGTTTGAGTGAAAAAGGTGGGTGGTTTGTGTTACGGGCCACACGGTTACGTCCCCTTTGTACGTGCGAGGTGGCGGTGTACGAGTAGTCCAGGGAACCAAGGTTGTGTATAGATGTAATATTGGTTACTTAGAGTTAAGGTAAAAAAAGAAAAAATAGTCCAAATATGGTGTTAATGACTCAGGGTGGAGAAAAATTGTTTTTCCTAGTGGCCTGTTCTTAAAGTAGCTTTTTATTTTTTGATTTCTGGTACTGGTAGTCTCTTAGGGTTTTTACTCTGATCTATGACTTTTATTTATTTATTTTTCCTAAATTTTATTTATGTGTGTGTGAGTGTGTGTGTGTCCAGCTCAGCCCACCAGGGGGCGGGGCTGGCTGGCATGTGGTGCTGGGGATTGAACCATGGTCCCTGTGCTTTGCTAAGCTTGTTCTAAGTAGGTGCTTTAGACCATTGAGCCATCTCACCAGCCCCAGATCTATGACTTTTAAAAGTAATTTGAGATTAGTTTGCTAAACTGCCCAAGATGGACTGGAATTTGTAATCCTTTTGCCTCAGCCTCCCAGAGTGTTAGGGGATTACATTCTTTTTTTTTTTTT